CTCGCCTCAACTCCCCGTTGTCACCAACATCCGCCCCGTCACCGCCCTTGGCCCCATCATGCGGCTCGGTGCCCATCCCACCCAAGCAGGGCTCAGACCCCAGCTGACTCCATGCCCTCGCCCTCGCGGACACGGCGGATGCATCGACGGCGTCAGCTTTCCCGATGCCCTCCCCAACTCAACCACTCTACCACTCGCCAGCTGACCCGAGGGACTTCAATGACTGATGGTGGCCGGACGTCCGCTCACTCGATGACCAACCTCAGATTGCCATCCGCCATCTCTATTACTTCTGATAACTATATTGTAAGCCGTACGCGCACATTATATAAGTCGCGGATGGCCATTTTCAACCCCGTCAGGTCACCCGAAGCACATCGCACCATCACCTGATGATCCGGTGGCCCGACGTACCTCCAGGTAGCAACCGTCCGGTGGACCGACGCCCGCGAGCGCGAGTCTACTGCATGATGTGACGTCTTAACATAACGTTCCAGTGTGCCAGGAACACTAAGTGGGAAGCACTCGCTTATTGTGGTCAAATTGTAGTTCGACATTCTATAAAAGCAGGCAGCGACATCCTCCAGAACAAACAGATCCTCCTCCAGTACCCATTCGATACCAAGAAGAATCCAAATGGCTAAACTTCAGACTGCTGGTGAGTTCCGCTGGATTAATTCAATGTTGATTGCTGAACCGAAACTATCGCAGAGGAGCGGGCACTGATTGCAAAGTGGAACGCGGGAGACTACTCTGCCCAAGGATGGGTCAACAAGTAAGCGAGCTTCCCAGCGTGCCCAAACGGCTCGATCCTATTCATTTCCTCTTCTCCTTCGTAGCACGGATGGTCTAACGAAGGCGGCGCTTTACGGGTTGGCTGACTACAATACCAAGAAATGTCAGTTTCAGTCTAGTGTTTGTGTTGTCGCCGATCTCTAACATTTCATCACGCAGATTTCAACACGAACAATATTGACGAGGTGTTGCCCGGATTCTCTGACGCGGACACCTTTGTTCTGCCCCAGAACTTCGCTGCAAATGCTATCTCAGATGCACCTATGGTTATCTCGACAGCCAGAGTCAACAATATACCTTCCACTATCGCCGAAGTAAGGCTCGGCTTCACTCCAGAGCTCAATTACTTCCGGGCCAGATTTCAGTACCAACAAGGTGTAGGGAACTTTCGTGTGAATGGTATGCAACAAACTTTGTTTGGTTTACGTTGTTATGACGGGATGGTGGCTGACCTTCGTGTTACTCAGGCCAAGTTCAATGGACGACTGGCGGCGCCGTGTCGAACGAATGGGGTCCCGCACTCCTGGAGGCCGATCCTGCGCCTCAAAATGAGATATCGCTCACCGCAACAACGTCCGATGTCCCCCCGAAGCCCAGGTTGCACTTCACTGGTCCTTCCGGCGGGCGCGCTCTGGCCTACAGAGGTACCGGCCGCTACGGCAATAACCCCTAGTCACACACAATCTACGCAATCACGTTACATTACGTAGATTGGATCAAAGGAACTATGTTGCCTTCATTTTCTGGTTCTGCTTTATTTCGAAGATGTATAATTACTCCAAACGACAGGCTCCCTTTTATACAGCGCGGAAGTCTAATTTTTACTTTGCTACTTAAAATGTTCTGCAGTTGAGTTTTCCCTAGCTTTGTTCATAACGTAGTATGTAGACACGCTGTACTCGAGTAGAACATCTTACGAGGTTGCAACGGGATCACTTTCTCACTATCGTCCGATCTCGCAACATGAACGGTTGGTGATGATCGGCACCAAAACTATGAAAGTTGTGCACATGATCGACAGCTGCATACGATTAGGAAAATTTAGGATTAACATTACGAGACGGTTGTCCTAACTTAGATCCAGTGATGATGAATAGCCAACCTGAAGCCATTAACATATACTATGCTTGCGACCTTTTTGATAGTATGAATCCACTCGAACCTCTTTACCTAAACGCTGGTATGAGCCGCCGCTCATAATCTCCCTCATATGCTACACTGTGCAACGATTATTCTCATACTACGGGTCGCTCGGCCAGGAAAAGAAAGGGTGCGCTCCTTAGCATGGCGCTGAAACGACACTTGGTCTCGTGTAAACTTAAAGAATAACTCATTCCATGATCAGATCAAGAAGCCTACGACTCACTCGCACACTACTAACTTGGACACAAGAATTCACAACGGTTATTTGGGCACGCAATACAAACGATATTATAAAACGCAAGAGCTATTACGAACACGACTCTTCCCCTCAACTCCGCAAATCAGTAAATAAACTAGGACAAGACTCGAGTGCGAAAGTGCACTGAGAAGGGACGTAAAGTCCCTGCAGCGTTGAGACGAGGTGACCCGACAGACACGAAGTCCGATGGAAAGACACGCGAAGTCCCGACGACTGTCCGAGGCACGAGGCCTCAGAGGATAGAGACCGAAGTCTCAAGAAAGGGACCGAAGTCCCCCTCGCGGTGCGAAAAATTTGGGGTAAATGTACCCAATGACAGAGGTGGCGCGTGAAGCACCAAACCCCTTGCTTAGCAGAGGCGGAATGGACGTCCTCGCCAATGCTGAAGCGTTCTCGGGCCTGTGAAGGCACCGAGGTCGTCGACGTGAAGCCAACGACTTAGAGCGTAGGAATCGCCGGAGCGGTGGCAAAGAGTAGTCGCCTAGTAAGCAGCGCCTCTCGCGGGCTCTTGTACTGCTGGTCCTGGAGTGAAGCGTCAGATGGGTTGGCGTGGACAGACAGGATAATGAACTTACCAATACGGAGTAGAACCCAAGACGTTAGCTAGAGCTACGCCATAATGAGCCATACGTAAACACCGCAACAAGCAGTACGACGTACCAAGTTTCCGTTGCAGGAGGTGGGACCAGCCGAGGGGCGGTCGAGTCGTCAGAGGCAATGATAGCGGTCGCCAAGAGCATTGTCCGCGTCGATCGCAGCGTCGGTCAGCCCGCGGCCCAACAAGCCACACTATCCACGGTCTTGGAAACGTGGGCTTCATGCAACCCATCCAGCACTCACGAGCATTTTTCCGCACTCCAGTCAAAGCAAGCGGCAGGTGAGCCACGCCACTGCAAAGACCTGCCGACGACACGACGGGTTAAGAGGAAAGCTGAGCCATAGAGGGGAGGCGTCGGTGATGAAAGAGCAGAGGAGAGAAGCTGAGGGAGCTGAGGAAAATCGGCGGAGGATGGGCAGCCTTTTATCCTGTTCTGAGGGCTCGCCTGCGCTTGGTGATTTCAACTCCGAATCGTTCTCCAGTGGATATTTGCTTCTGTTTGTAGCATAATTTCCCAAATCAAGACCGGATCGGCAAGCCCAGAAGTGCGGACAACCGGCTCCGAGCTTTGACTGTTCCGTCTCTCCCGTCCAATGAAAATCGAATCCGCTCGCGGAACGGGACGACCCTCAACTCTGCAAGATTCATCCTGTCATGGGCGATGTCGGGTGGCTATCAGAACTCAAATGTGAATAAGAGACTGCTTGTTGGCGGCCGAACTGGGCCGCAGAAGTTTCCTTTTCCAAGCCGCGTCCAGATCCTTGGCATTCGGTTTATGGAGAACAATGCGGTCTGCGTCTGCCTGCGCCAGGTCTTGTGGTCTTCTGGCTGACACCGCTTCGTCG